CTAGCGATTACCCCGCTTTCGGAGATAGGCACATTTTCCAGCGTGAGCATCCGTAGATTAGAGAACTCCACAGGGTCGCGATCGTGAGCACGTGCAACCGACGGCGTGCGATCCACCGCGCGCCTCGAAAACCTGAGGTCCAACCTCTCGAGCGTCCCAGAGTTCTGCCGGATGCATGTATCGAGGACAAGGGCATGTCTGCGGGGGCAGATTCCGTGCCACACCAAGCACGTCAGGTGGCGTAGTTGGACAAGACCGTCAACGCTGATCTCTTCGGCGATGCTAGACCGGCCGGTGCCTGTTTCATCGCCCGCCTGGGTATACAGCTCCAGCGATACGATCTGCGGCTGAAACCGCGGGATATAGCCATTCGAGTTCATGATTCCTCTGGGTAGCCACGGATAGCACCAGCTGTAGGTCTTTTGTTAGCTGAGCACAGAACAAGGACCTGCTCGGACTGCTTACGTGAACTTCACGAGCGACCCGGGGCTGAGTCCGCGCAAGATCAACTGGATGCCGAGGACGAGGCTTTTGGGGATGAGCATGCGGTTTCCCACGGACCATTGCGGGTTGTGCCGGTCGTGTAGTGCGCGATCATGGCACAGGTTGTTTTGTACCGGGGTCTCGGCCACAAACGCCAACTCTTTCAGAAGCGATAAGACTAAGTCCGCATTCTGCTGATCATGGCAAGAAAGGAAGCTGGCAACCCCAGCAAGGGGCTTTTGGCGCGGCATGACAATGCGCAGTTCTCGGTTATGGGGAACTATGTCGTACCAATTCTGACGCACCATTGTAATATGGACTGGACGATCCACCTCGAGCTCACCAACAGATTGCCACAGATTGCCAACCATGTGGCGGTTGCGCGGGTCCGGACCGGATTAAGTAGCGACAACCGGGCAAACCACGAGGTGTACCGCGGCGCGGGACGTGAAGAAGTGCTTGCGATGCCAACTTGGCCAGGAGGCTCTGCTACAGACTGCACTATTCTTCGCTGTAGAAAAGGGCTATTCCGTCCCTGGCTGGTTGGTTCGTTCCCGGATGAGCCAGCGACGTATACAGGAGCCTCTGCGGCATAATTTTAGGAACGTGTTGGAGCTCCCAGAGCAGGGGCGCAGATAGCTGGTCCCGAGTGACCCAACGCGGCGAGAAGCTAACCGCTGTTGCACACTGCCTCCTGTTCAACCGGTCGATCCGCGCCTTCGAGAGCTGACTGCACGTGCCCGGATTTTATCCCGACCAGGTGGTACTCGGCGCAGCGATCTGCCGCCACAGCACCCCCAAACGTTGCACGACTGTGGCGCCTGGCAAGTGGTTATGCAAAGAGAGATTGATCTCAGACGAGGTGTTCGTCACCACCGAGCCATCCGGCTCCTGGCTACCGTTCCTGACCCACTCTCTGGCCGCCTGCTGCTACGCCGCTTTTGTGTGAACGGCCGAACCGTAGGAGAAATAAACACGATTTTTTTGTCAATGTGCCTGGTGTGTTCAACAGTACCATGGACGTTCCTTTCTCTACTTCCGGACGGGTGCATTACACTACGGACCGAATATGCTGATAGCCGGACTGGTACCGTTGCCGCGCTCATGAGTCCTCCGCAATTGCTCGGAAACCCCCCCGGTCATTACCAGACGATAGGCGTCGACTTTGTACAATACCCATGCCATGCACATTCCGTATAAAGTCCCATCGGTGGGCTCGTTGGGGCGGCAGAGCACCCTCTCGGCGAAGCTCTTAAGGATCAGTGATGTGGAACCTCGACGCAATGGACGGCCGCTGTCGCGACCCCCCGGTGCGTCATGTGACAGAACTTCCGACGTCGACCCCCTCGTTTCCGCAACCGACGGGCACTTTCTTCACGAACCGTTCGTCGTGCAGCTCTAGCGCCGGTTCCCTCGATTTCTGCAACACGACTGCCTCGTATGCGAAAGCCAAATACGAAGCAGCCTCGACACCGAACTGGGAAACATGTCATCTTCTCTGCACTAAGATCATATCCCGGTTGCTCCAGACGACAGAGGTTGTGCGCAAGGTGGATCTGTATTACTGTGGCGAGGGAAATGACCAGCAAAGCAGTACGATGCTGGTATTGACAGCTCACCGTCTCCGAGACGACTGGGTGCAAGCCGACCTCTCCTGCACTGACGGAACATTGGTTGCCAGCGCCTTCGCGTTGTT